CACACACACACACACACACACACACACACACACACACACACACACACAGGGTTGTAGAATAGAATGTTCTCTTTTCGTTTTTTTGAGTTTTCTATTGAAAAAATCAAATCAGAAAAATTAGAAAAAAAAATAGGGGCGTGTAGGGTTTTTCAAACACCACACGCCTATTTGTTTTTTTTTTATCCATTAAAAAAATAAGAAAAAATAAAAAAACAACCCTGACGCCCATTTTTTTTTTCTGTTCAACGGGCTTCAACGGGATTCAACGGGGATTCAACGGGGATTCAACGGGCTTCAACGGGCTGACAATTTTTTTTTGCTCCACGTGCTTCCAGCGACGTGTCCAAGTCCCAATGCGCCCTCCCATTGAACAGTATTCATCGGGGAGGGCCCATTGTAGTATTCAACGGGGATTCAACGGGCCCCGGGGGCTATTCAACGGGCGTTGAAACTTTTCCGTTGCACGTTGAATAGACACACAACATTATTCCCTTTTCTTTGCTTTTTGGGACCATTTCTCTATTAAATTTTATGCAAATCATCCTTGAAAGAGCAGGGGCCATGCTAATCTTCATTCTCTGTATCGTTCGAATTTGAACAGATGTCCTGAAGGACCATCATTCCCTTTACCTTTGCCCACCACGTACTCACACTATAATCACTATCGTAAATGTATCTGACCGCATTTCCAGCCGGACCTGTATGCATCTGGCCTCTTTTCCATCCCAGAATTCGTAAAAAAGTGCTAGTGTGTATTCAGCACCAAAACCTAGATTAAGATTGGACAATGGGCCTCCCTGCGCTACTCTCCACATGCACACAATACAAAAAATAATAATCGCAGTGTATATTTCCATGTTCTTGCCAAGGATTCATTCTCCAGCTCCTCATTTCGAGAGTAATGGAGAGAGAGGCCCAATCCATTCACTGCCGCGGGCCTCTTCTTGCAATTTTCCTCTATTTCAAGGAACCTCATGAGCTTCCCTGAAATTTCAAGACCCTCCTCATGCACAAAAGACCAAAAAGAAATGGCTCCTGTATCTTTCCATGTTCTAGCCGAGCATTCCGTCTCATTTTTTTGCACATTTGGAGGGTGGTCGGGCGAGGCCCAATCCATTCATTGCGGGTGTCTTCTTGCCATTGTCCTCATCAAAATGAGCCTCTTTGAAATTTCAAGGAAGGAAGGAGGAGGGAAAGGGGGAAAAGAAAAAAAATAATAATAAAAAAAAATCATGGCATGCCATGTTCGAGTGGAGAGGGCATGTTACTCCGAATCTGGACTGTGGCAGGGAGCTTTTGGCTGAAAGCCTGAAGCACCACCTTTTTTTTTTTTTTTTTCCCTTATGCCCTCACATGGATGAATCTGACTGCAATCAGGTCCAGAGCTCTGTGGAAGAAGCCCTACTCTGAGTGTTCCCTCACCCTTGGGAGGGTATATCAAGTCGTTAAAAAATGGTCTCAAAAACTGTTAAAAAGAACTCAATCACTGTTGTTTATTTATGCAGGGGTAAAAAGGACAACTTTGTTTTTTTTTTTTGTTTTTTTTTTTTGTTTTTTTTTTTTGTGCAGGGGAGAGAAAAGACACCTTTGTGAGATTATCCGCCGCAAAAAGAAGTCAAGTCGAGTTGATTGCAAGATAGACAAGTCGAATTACACAGAGTGTCAAAACGACAGAAGTCGAATTACACACAAAGCGTCAAACCGACACGTGCACAAGCTACACGGAAAAAAACTTGAAGAACAATGGCAGGCGCGGCATCCCGGACCCCGACGCCGCGTTTCGACGGTTGCCAAACCGTCTTCATCAGGGGGAGTTCCACCACTTCGACCCTTGATAAGTCCCAACTTTTCCAGACAACCCACTTCCATCCCTTCGCCACTACACCTAGGGTCTCGCTCCACTACTGTCCGCTATACACAATTTCGTATAGTTGCCGTATAGCTGTCAGACCGCGAAAAAATGTATAGAACCCGGCGTCGCTCCACTTACTATCTGCTATACAAAGTCTCCAGTTCCTGAGTTCACTACGCAACACCCTAACAGCACTAGAAGACAGCAATTTGTCCATCCAGACTTGAGGTTCACCATACAAAAACGCAGCGGGTCTGTGGTTTCCTTTGAGGAGTATCCGAGTAACGACTTTTGCAGGCTGGGAACTAAGCACCGACGGAGAGTGCAATCTCCGACCCATATCTGACAGCCCTCCGTCCGCAAAATTCAGCAATTGCGGCTCCCCGGAGACCGGACTCAGGTCGTAGAAATAGTACCCGATTGAATACGAACACCCACCCTGGAGTTTTCTCGCCAACCGGCCCAAATGACTACCACGCACGAATTTCGAGTGATCCTCCTCCTCGTTCTCGTTCCCGTTCGACCCGTTCTCGTTCTTGTTCTCTTTCTCTTTCTCTTTCTCGTTCTCATTCATGTTCTCGTTCTCGTTCTCGTTCTCGCGCTCCTCGTTCTCGTTCTCATTCTCATTCTCGTTCTCGTGCTCCTTGAAGTTCCTTCGGGATCCTACATTGCCAGCATCGGCACCACTGACGCTATGACCATCCTCGCGGTGATCCCTAGGCCTAATTGCAGAAGAAGAAAAAGGTAGATTCTGAAGCTCACCGTGACGAACAGTAACGGCGGGTTACTGCAGGAATGATTGAAACAAGTTACTGTGGTAAGACTTTGTGCATTTGCTAGGAACGTGAGACTGATGGGGATATTCACTAACGGTGGGAGATGGCTGATGTTGAAGTGGTTTGGACCGGCTTACTGCAGACACGTCTAGTGGGAGAAAGAGGCAAACCCCGAGGAGGAGAAGAATTACGCTGCCTGCGGCACACAGCATATTTAATTTACTAATAAGAGATCGACAACTGTGACTACGTGGTGGAGACCTAGAGACCAAGTGTTGGTGGTGAAGGGGGAGGAGGAGCAACAGCAACAAAGCCATACTCGTAACTATTATGCCGACCGGCCAATTCTTCAGGGCTTCAAAACATAGATAAGACACCTTTTTTTTTTTTTTTTTTTTTTTTTTTTTGGGAGGAATGGGGAGGGAAAGAGATAAGAATAAGACWCCTTTTTTTTTTTCTTTTTTTCTTTTTTGGGAGGAATGGGGAGGGAAAGAGATAAGAAACAATACTGCCAAGCGCGTAGGGGATGAGAACAAGGACCAAAACCTAACAGTACCCGTACCCTAGACGTACACCCACCACTGGATATTCCCCATTGATGAGCCACAGCAGGCTCAACAGCTCCAAACGAGACCCTGCCACCTACCCCTTCCCGCACCCGCTACTCCCCCAAAAAACTGCTCGATCAAAGGTTGCAAGGCTTAACAAGATTATAATAGTTATAACAATATATAATTAATAATAATAATATATAATCATTAATATTATAATAAATTAATAATAATAATAGTTATAATAATAATAAAAGACGAGGACCAAGAACAAGAGGAAGAGGACAAAGAAGAAAAAGAAGAAGAAGAAGAACAAGAAGAAGAATTGATCGAGAAAGAACTTGGGCTAAGACATGTCCGTCTAAGAGAAAAAACAGGAGGCTTTAGACCTAACAGTGTAGAATTGAGTCTCAGAGTCAATGATGGAAACTTCCAGAAAATAATAGGTGCACTCCGAGGAAAGGCCGCTAATGAGGCAGCCAATTACTTCACGACCTCATGATGGTTCTGCAATGATGGTCCACATGGCAGGAACGAAGAGCATCCAGCCCCGGGATTTTTTTATTTTTTTTTTAACCCTCCGGGATAATTGGTGGGAGGCGGCCACGCCAAAACCTTTTCTTTTTTTTTTTCTTTTTTTTTTTTTCCCGTTTGCCGGGAACCTGGGCCAGATACAGGGCTGGGATCAGGATCCCGTAGCAAGGGGCTCAGCGGTCGGGAACCGATCTAGGACGCCAGATTTCTGCATCTGCCGGGCCCTGTTGCCCGTGGGCAGTGGGAACTTATTGCCAACCCCGAAAGGTTTGGGCGTCCAAAACCACAAAGGGTTTTTTTTTTTTTTTTTTTCCCCCTAAAGCCACAAAGGTTTTGGCATTGGCGCCTTCTACCAATTCTCTCTCCAGTCCCTGCTGCTGCCAAGGCACGTAATAACACACTTCAAGTCTTCAAGACACTGCACCCCGACTCCTGTTCCTCCCTGATACAGAATCGTTATCACAAGAGAACAACAAAAAAAACAAACCACCTCTGTCAGGTTGCCGTCTTCAAAAGGATTGAATGTTGTAATTGATGATGATAATATAGCCAAGTACATGGCAAGTCTCTTCTCTCTCTCTCTCTCTCTTCTCTCTCTCTCTCTCTCTCTCTCTCTCTCTCTCTCTCTCTCTCTCTCTCTCTCTCAGTATTTATCTGTCTACCTATCAATCTAGTTTTATCTGTGTATGACTGCGACTCTCTGCGATTGCTCGAAGTGTGTGTCCCTGTCGCCAGACTTGCCACCACCTTCGGAGTCAGCCACCATTCTCCTTCTTCTTCTTCTCTTGATCTTCTTCTTCCCTTCGATGAGGAGACAGCGAAATGGGAGAAGGCAAATTCGACGGACGTTTTCACGATCATCGCCGTGGCGCTCGACGCATCTGACAGAGAAAAAACATTGCTAGATGGATGGAACGGGAAAACGTACTGGCTGCTCTATCGTAGTTATCCAACTTATCCCTTTGAGCAGAATCAGCACTGCACACTGCACACATATCGCATTCAAAAGAACGGCGCTCAGACTCACATCCGGTAAAACAATTGGGGCATGTCACGCTCACAAACCGTTGCAACCCCTTTTGAAGCCCAGGCCTGATTTCTGCCGAAGTTTATGCGTACCCACCGTTCGTCGGTCAACGACTCAACGTCAAAGAATGAGTGTCTCTGAGTCACAAAAAATCCTCAAGGAGAACTGAGAGTCGCTGCTGAGAATGTGGGAGCAGGCGACTAACTTTTTCCCCTTAGGACTTCGGGAAGGAGGAATGCCAGAGAACTCAGTCCATGATGACGAGAGAGAGAGAGAGAGAGAGAGAGAGAGAGAGAGAGAGAGAGAGAGAGAGAGAGAGAGAGA